TTTTCAATCCCAGGTAAGTACGTCTGGTTCTTGTTCCTTATCTCTGTGCTTAGAGAGTCCTCAAGGGATGCCATGTGAGATATGCCACTTCCACTGCATGTCTCCTGTGTGCTGTGTGTTGCACACCACACTGCTATTCTGACTGGAATTGCTCCATTTGCACTATGGACTCTGAACATTACGTATTAATTATATTATTTTGGGGTAGATACAAGAATATTCATCTGGGGAATAGAAGTCCTTACCTATCCTTAATGAGAACCTTCCTGAAAGATGGTGTTCCAGTTGATTGCTGACTATTGTCCTTCAATGTTGCTTTCTGAGTTGTGTGTGTGACAAATATGTCACTATCCAAAAGGACAGAACAATTGGAAGGTATCTCCTAGTTTCTTCATTGAAGGTGATTTTTTAGATTTGAAGAGATCATCTGTTTTTTCTTTTACCTTTTAGAATATGATATAATATGTCATTTCATCCCTCCTTTTTCTTCCTCTAATCCCTCCCCTGTAGCCCCTTGTTTTCTTTCAAATCCATGGCTTCCTTTTACATTAATTGTTGCTACATGAATATATGTATATGTATATGTATATCCATGTATATATTTCTAATATACCCTCCTTAGTCTGTATAATGTTGTTGTATGTTTTCAGAGCTGACCATTTGGCATTGGATAACCTACAGGTGTTCTCCTCCCTGGGGAAGACCATTTCTCTCACTCTCAGAATTCTCAGTTTCCTGTAGTTATTTATGTAGGGTCGAGGCCCCATTGGCTTTCTCCCATCCACTTTCGCATGTCTGTTTTGTTGTCCTTGTGGAGCTCATGTTTAAGCAGTCATGATGAAACTTTATGTGTGTTGCCTCTGACATTAGTAGGTATCACAGTCTCACAACAAACTCCCTCATGCTTTGGTTCTTACACTCTTTCCTCTCCCTCTATCACAATGTAGGGGTTGTTTTGTAGATGCATTGCAACAGAGCTGCACAACTCTGCATTTTGGTTTGTTGTGTTTGTAGTGGTATATGTGATGTGATGTGATGTGATGATGTGATGTGATGATGTGATGTGATGTGATGTGTAACGGTCTTCATCTGTTGTGTCATGAAGTTTCCTTGGTGTGGGACGAGGACTACTCTTATCTGTCCCACCAGCCTTTGTCATCAGAGTGCCCCCTCTGAACAGCCCTCAGTCCAGTGGAGAATGCAGGAAACATTAACACAAGAGAACTCAGAAACAGCAGGTGGCATACAGGAGTGTTGGTGGGGTCTTCTCATACTTAGACATCCACTTCTACGCAACATTTGATGATGGATTTTAATTTTACTGCTGCAGCTGAGAAATCCTCTATGATCTTCAGAACTATATATCCAATGGGATATTTGAAATTTATCTTTGCGGACATTTAGCACACAGCTCAACAAACTCCAGACTTGAAAGCATGCCTACATCCTCCTCACATAAGTTCTTTCTATTCTTATGTGATGAATATGTATATTATATAGATGTATATACACACATACATATATCTATATACAGACACAAACCCAGACAGACAGACACACAAACATATATGTATACCGATTTCATATAGGAGACAAAACATACACCATTTGAGCCTGATTTTTTTTTGCTCAATATGAGGACATTTTCATGTTCTTGTAAATTATATCAGTTCATCTTTCTGTCTGAATAAATCCCCATTCTCTGTATATCCAACTGATATAGTATAGTATAGTATAGTATAGTACAGTATAGTACAGTACAGTATAGTACAGTACAGTATAGTATAGTATAGTATACTATAGTACAGTATAGTATAGTATAGTACAGTACAGTATAGTACAGTACAGTACAGTATAGTATAGTACAGTACAGTATAGTATAGTATAGTATAGTACAGTACAGTATATTATAGTATAGTAAAATACAGTACAGTATAGTACAGTACAGTATAGTACAGTACAGTATAGTATAGTACAGTACAGTACAGTATAGTACAGTATAGCATAGTACAGTATAGTACAGTACAGTATAGTATAGTATAGTACAGTACAGTATAGTATAGTACAGTATAGTATAGTATAGTACAGTACAGTATAGTATAGTATAGTACAGTACAGTACAGTATAGTATAGTACAGTACAGTACAGTATAGTATAGTATAGTATAGTACAGTATAGTATAGTACAGTATAGTATAGTATAGTACAGTATAGTATAGTACAGTACAGTATAGTATAGTATAGTAC